CAATAAATTGTCACAACAATATAACTTGAAAGAAACAAAATTATTTTTCATATTAATATAAATTAATCAATTTAATTCTGACTTAGACATAGTCTTTTTTTTATTATTCATAGTTATAAATATTAAATAAATATATACTCAAGAAAAAAAAAAAACGATATTTATAAAACTAAAGTCTAAATTATTTAGTAAAAATGGAAATATAAATATATTATTCTAGCAACGAGAAAAAGTACGTGTTAAAGTTATTTAAAAGAACAAAAAAAGAAATCTTTTATTGAAGAATCATTATATGTCTTTCTTTTATTTTTTCAGATTATCACAAAAAACAAAATCAATAATGAAAATACTACAATAAATATCATGTAATCTTTGAAAAGATTGAATATATTCTAATCATCAGATATTTGATTAATGATTTAATTTATAAAAAAAAAATGAATAAATTATATATTCTCATAAAACATGACAAACTCCTTTTGTCTTATGTCACAAGTATTGGTTCATTGTTTGTTTGTTTTTTTTTCTATTCAATAGATACACCAACAATATTCTAAGTAATTTTTTTGTCTTTTTTTTTGTAGATTAAATCTATTTTAATCTCAATGTCATACATTCGTAGAATCTCGAATTTGCCCTCCAAGAACAAGATGAATATCTGTCCGAGAAAATAAATCTTCAGATGTCTGCATAAGCTACACAAAAAAGAAAATCAAACTAACCAAGCTCGTTTGGAGCTATGTGTGTAATGAAGCATTGGCCATTTAATAGCAAACCATCGATCAATAGCAAAACCAATTATCACCCAGACACTCGTAAATTGAAACCATATTATACAAGCATAGACATATGGAAAAAGATATTTATGAAGTCTTGAGGAATAAAACGATTCACTTTGTCGATTTGGTGGTATAGAAGAATTAATAGCAAAAACAAGACCAAATAATAATAGACAGCTATCACTAATACTCAATGCAGCTAGATAAGTTGAAACGACACTACGCTATTTGAATTAAAAGCAAAAAATAATTTAATTAATATATATATATATAGATAATTGTATTAATATTTACCATCTGACGACGAGTAAATATATAAACAGAACATAGAGCAAGAACAAGTCCTATTGAACATATAGTTGTACCTATTTTGAAATATAATTAGATAAATTTTTGTTGTTTTTTTTTTTATTATAATTGTTGTTAAATAAAATATTTTCTTACCAACATAACCAAATAAATAATGTGTAAATAACATGAGAGACATGTCGATTTTAACCATTATTTAAAACACGTCGACTACAAGAAAATAAAGTAAAAGAATATGCAAAATCAATTCATTATCTATTTGAATAAAATAGTTTTCTTCCGTTATTTGTCTTTTACAATAGTAAAAAGATTATCTTTTCTTTCTGACATTGTCTCAACCAACTGTTAGCTTTTCTCTCGTTTTCTTTTCTTTTTTCTTTTTTTCTATATTATTATATAAAGCTATTTTCTTATTCTTTATATATATATATAAATAGAAAGAGTTATATGGCATGTTTTGAATATGAAAGATTTTTTATTATTATATAAGAAATCAGAATATCTTAATGACATCAATATAAGATGAATGGCATAAATTTAAGTATAGAGAAAAAAGAAAAAATAATATAATTATAGTTTTATAGAGTGAACTCTCATAGTATGTTAATGTATTTCTAAACTATCAACTATTCTGAGTATAAATATATAGTTGATTATGAAACATTACTTATATCAAAGTCCAAGTAAAAAAAACTAAAATAGAAATGAAAGATAAAAATAAAAAAATATAACACAGTTTTGTGTATCATTGGTAATTATCATAATATAAATCAAGGATAGAAAATAAGATAATGAATAAGAAGAAAAATTATACTTTCGGGTATACTGATGAATGAAAATGATGACGCATAGTGAACTGAAAAGAATGATCTATCATGTAATTACACATTCTAGCACATTTTAATACATGAAAGTGACAAAGAAAGAACAAGTCAATAGGTAAATAAGAAAATTTTTTTATGTCCTGGATTCTATATGAAATTATAGTTTTCTTTTCTTTATATTACATACAGATTAAAATAGAATCATATCTTCCTTTTTTAAACACTCACGTTTATATTAATCAAAAAAGAAAAATTTTATTAAACAATATCTTCAATATTTATCTATTAAGCGCAAATTGAAATTGTATTAAAGTACGATACATATCGAAACCATATAAGTTTTTGAAAAGAAACAAATTTCAGGAAAGGATGTAGAGAAAAAAGACGGCAGATCATTTTAAAGGTTTAATAAGAGGTATTTCCTGTAGTCATACAAAAATGCTCTAACTACACTAAAAAAAACAAACAATTATCTTCACAGATACATATATATAGGGAAAAATGTGTTTTGATCACCAAGTTAATTAAGACATGAGTAAATTGAAGTGGCATGATGTGACTGTGGGTATCCGATGTGAGGAAAAGTTTAAAACTCAGGTTGGAACCGATAATTTAAGATCGATAAAATTGATCAAATAGCAGTAACAAGTCAAATGGATTAGAAAAATAAATCTGTAAATTAGAGAAAAAAACAGCTGACAAAATCAAAATACAAATAGATTGAAACAGGGCTGATTTATTCGACTTTTAACAACGGAATAAGCGATTTTGTTCTAATTTTAAATTCTTTTACACAGAATTTATATTATCTTCATCAAGAAGCCCACGCTCACCCTCACCTTCACTCTTATTCTCATTTTCAACATTATGTTAACTCTTCCACTCTAATTGATACATGCCTTGATTAATTTTGGTGATCAAAACACTAATTGTTTGGTGATCATTTTGCAGATAAAAAATTTGGTGATCAAAACTCAACTTTTTGGTGATCAAAAAAATGCTGATCCTTAAAATTATGCACCAAATAAGGGCAATGTTATATTAACCTTAAAAAAAATTATAATTTTAATATGAAACATGGAATAAAATTTCAACATATAATATATGAGTATCTTATGAGAGAAACCGAAGGCTTCTTTTTTTTTTTTCTTCCAAATGACATACTGATTATAAAATCAGCATGAAATTTTCTGTTTGATGCACATTAATAAATCATGAACATGTGCGTATGTACTTGTCATGAGAATGAGCTTAAATAATGCTGAAAATCTCTATCTTCATATTAAATACAGAATTTTATACATGAAATAAAAAGAAAAAAACTTATTTATCTATTATATTTGCAATAGCCAAAAACAAAACCCAGTCATACATATTTATATTTTTATTAACCGTATAATCAGATAATAAAGGATAACTAATGATAATTATGAAACATATCAGATATAATAAAATAATCAAAAAGAAAAACAGCATCGATATAACACAGACATGTCAAAATCTTATCAACAACTATGGACTGTTTATTATAACTTTAATTTGTTTCATGTATTATACTTTGTTTTTAAATTTTTATAAGAACAAATAATAAAAATTTCAATAGTTTAGCCACATAAAAATAAGGTCACTATTAGGTTAATTATGTCAATTTTTTTGACATGTTTTATTTTAATATGAAATACTTCGTATGTTATGAAAATAATATAGGAAATGTCTATATCAATAAAATATAATGATTTAAAATCTTATTTATCCTTTCATATATTTACAACTTTTAACTATTTTGTATTTTTTGTACTATTCGATAGTGTTGATTCTCTTAGAAAACAAAAATAACATTTCTAATCTGTATAAAATAGTACTTTTAAAATGTTTATTATCCAGTAAGAGGTTGTAAATCTTAAGGATTAATATAGTCTCTAAAATCCTTCTCAAATATTTTTTACGCTACAACATATTAAACGACACGAATAATAATAAATTTTTTGTTTTGTCTAACAAAATTATAACTAATATTCTGACATCTATTAAAATTTTGAAAAGAAAAAAAAATCTGACAAATGATTCTAATAATAGTGAAATAAGATAAAAAAAGAATTTAAGAATATAAGATTAGTTATTTTTTATTGATCTTCATTATAAAAGAACAATAATTCTACTATTAAAAAATTTTCTTTAAGAAAATCCTTCTTCAGATTTAAAAATAAAAACTAAAGAAATTACATTTATATTATTTGTAATCAAATACATTAATATAGAAAAACGTTAGACAGAAATAGGAATACTCATCAATAAGAATGACGTTAGCTGTCATAAGCATTCCGATATGACATTTATCTTCATGATAGAAATATTTTCGTGTTTATTAAGAAAGTCTATTTTGTTTACTATAGATATCTTTATATGACATATTAAATGAAGAGTCTCTATTATTTAAATGTCTAGAAATGATATGAAACTGTATAACTCTATCAAATTAAAATATTTCTATTTATATTACAATAGTTTAAACAATGTTAATTAACTATGTTGTACTTTGATTATATCAAATAATTTTCGTATATTGAATATTTATTTTAATATCAGTTAAACATAAAACTTTCACAAACGAACCGGTACGTCAACACTTTACATGTTCCGTATGCTAATATCTGATTCAAGATAATACATATATGTATGTATCTATATATGTATATTCATATTTATACGTGTTTTTTTTTTTCAATCATTATCAGAAAATAATAATAATAATAATAATAATAATAAACAACAAAAAAAAACAACAAGCAAAGACAAAAAAAAAGAGAGAGAGAGAAAAACCATGGCAAAAATGAATATTAAGAGAAATACTAATACAAGATTTATCCAAAGGCAAGAAAGAAAAAAAAAAAGAAAGAATTCACATGTTATAAGAAGACATATAGAATATGTAAATAATCACAATATGCAGCGGAGTGTATGTGGGTGAATGTGATTTTAATATATAATTGTGAACAATCTATCAGCAGTGTATTGGAACAAAAAAAAATAGAAAACAAAAAGCATCACAGATGGGAAGAAGAAAGTTCTTTTGTTTCTTTTTTTTTTTTTATTGCACATTGTGCATTTTCTTTTCTGTTGTTGTTGTTGTTGTTGTTGTTTCAATTGTTTTTATTGTTGTATCATTATTATTAATATTTGGTGTTTGTATTCGACATATACGTTTTACTTTTGCACGATGATTTTTAAACCATAAACGTATATGTTTTGATTCAAGTTTAGGAAATTTTGTTCGATATTCACCTTCATTTAATTCTGAACATATACGTTCAATTAATACATGATCAGGATGTGTTTCAATAGCAAACCATTGTTCTAATTTTGGTACTTCAGATGTTGGATCAATAAATATTCGATTACGTCTTGAACGATTGTAATCAAATGATGTTGTTGTATTTGATATTTTAGTTGAATTTAATGATATTTGTGTTGGTGGTGTTTGTTCACTTATTGAACTAATATTATCATCATCATTACTTTCATCGGATAGTGTTGCTTTTTGTCTTTGTTTATCTGTTAATGATATATCAAATGCTTGTAAATAATTAAAATAATAATTATTATGATTTTGTTGTTGTTGTTGTTGTTGTTTGTGTTTTTCATCAATATCAATATCATCATCAATATCATCTTCAAGTTCATCTGATGAATCAAGTTCACATTTAATTGATTGATGATTTTGTTCATCATGATTATCTATTTGTTGTGGTGATGATGATAAATTATATGATTGTTGTTCTTGTTGTATTGAATTATCTGAATTACCAAAACGACGTTTTTTACGTTTTAATGCAGCACGTGCATTTTTAAACCAATATTGAATATTATATGGTTCAAGAGCTTTTTTTCCTAAAATATAAATATAAAAAAAAACTGAAATTGAATTTTAATATGATAATAATAATAAGATTAACCTTTTCGACATGGTAATGAATTAAGACTTTCACATATAGATGCAATTTGATAACGTGTTGGATGTTTTGTATCAGTAAATATTTGTAATAAACGTGGTGTTTCTTCATGTGGATCAAATGTTGTACGTTCACGTTGTCGACGATTGTATGCATAATCTTTTATTGTTGATGATGGATTTGTTGGTGTTGTATCATATTGTTGTTGTTGTTGTTGTTGTTGTTGTTGTTGTTGTTGAGCAAATGATAAAAGACTAGCAAATGGATAATTTATATAAGATTTATTTGAATTTAATGTTGATGAATATTGTTTTTTTGAAAGATTTAATGGAGTATTATCACTATAATTTTTTTTTTTTTTTTGTAATAGAAAATATTTTTAATTATTAAAAAAAACATAATTTCGTTTTTTTTTTTTTCTTTACCCATCAGTTGTATTTGAATTTGATGATGTAAATGAATATCCATTTGGACTTGTTGTTGATTTTAATAATGATGATGATGATAATTGTTCTTGTTTATTATCATGATCATCAATATCATCATGCATTAATTGATATGATTTATGAGCCAACTTAAAAAAAAAAAAAAAAAGATTGAAATGATTAATTCATAAATCTTTTTTTTTTGTTTTTTTAAATAACATACTTCTTGTTTATCACGATCATCATTTACTAAAGGCATTAAATGTTTTATTAAACGTACGGATCTTTTATCTTCTAATGTATTTGAATATCTTGAAAAGAGAATAAAGATTATTATTATTATTTTTTTTTTTCTTTTTGTTGTATTATTTATTATTTTTGCTTACTTAAATATACGAATTTGAAGTATAGCTACATTCATAAGATCACCTAAAATATCTTGAACAGTAACCATTCGATTTTCAGTTACAGTTGATATTGGTAATGGATTCCAATTTTTTATAAGAATTTGACCTGAAAAATACAGATTATTGTAAGATTCAAGTTTCATTTTTACGGTGAAATATTTTGGAATTCTTCCAAGGCAAATATATAGTATTCGATAACAGATTTTCAAATTATCTTTGAGTCAAGATCCTAATGAGTTATGAGTATCTGTGAAAAGAATTCATAATGTTATTTTCTAACTGCCGCGAACCCTGTCGGAAACACCGAAAAAAACTTATGTATAAATTTCAAGTTGAAATTTTGCATAGAAATAATCTTTAAACACAATAGTTTATTGTGAAAATTTCCGAGTTTTTTTTTTGTGTTTCCTATATGAACATACGGCTATGGTCAAAGTATGTTTTGGACACCGGCCAGTTGTCATGTTCTTATTTCAGAATAGAAATAATAAATAAAAAGTGCAAATTGTTCGAACTTTTTCAGGATATTCATAGTTCATTAGAATCTATATCATGTAAATAACTCTAATTGAAAAGCAATGCGACAATTAAGAACGTTCAGATTTCGCTAACTTTTTACCAACAGATTTTGTTTTCTAGTGTTGTCGATCGTAATGACTTTAGTCTCTCTCTCTCTCGAATTCCTGACCCGAATCTAGTGACTTTACTTTTTGGGTTCTGCTTCTGGCCTAGGAAAAAGAACCTATTCCAACATTTATTTGTATCACAATTGAAAGAATTCTCTAATACTCTTTTTATTAATGATTTATAAGATAGTTCTTTTAAAGTTATAGAGAATATTTAACAATAATCTTTAGGTTTGATTGACAGAATATTTTTCTCATAGACTTGCTCTCTAGACTGAAATTCGTCTCGCATATCTTTACTGATGAATTATTTTTTTTCACTCAATTAATGCAAGTTCTTATTTTTTTTACCTGTAGATCGATTGATAAAAACTCTACGATTTGAACTCCATCTGTTATAATGTTAAGATCAGAATCAAATCAATAAAATAAGAATACAATATAGTATTCAAATATAACTGTACGATGTTAAAGGACGATCATTTCAATTTTTCTTTTTTTCATTTTTACTATAGCTCGTAGATATTTTAACACATTTATTTTCAAACTAGTTTAAGATTCTATCAAATACATTTAGACCAAGTGATTTCTATTGGTATATTAGAAAATTAAAAAAAAAAGAAATAATATGTCTGTCGTTTTATAAATAGTTATCAACACTAGTTAACGAAAAGATGATTGATTTTTTACTTGATATTAATAATAATTATTAATTAAGATATTTTTTTTTTTTCTCTAAACTATGAATCTTAGAAAGAAAAAAAGAAAGAACGAAAAAAACCTTTAATTATCTCATTTAAATAAATAAAAAATTAATTTCTTTCTTACCATCTGCTCTTTCATCTTGTTCAATTTTACCAACATCAGCTTCCATACTACGTAAAACAACTGATACAATTTCATGAAATTTTGTATATGCCGGTACAATTACAAATCCATCTTGTAATACACGTTGTGGACACTCATCTCGTGCAACCACACAGTGTACCGGCAAAAATTTATTGCTTAACGCCAGACCTACAAAAGAAAAAAAAAAAGAAAATGAATTTTCACACATTTTATTTCTTTTGTTTTGTATTTTACTAATTCAATATATGAATATTTCATATCCCTAAAGCAACATATATATATATATTGATATATATTTACCTGCCGAAAGTTTATCCAAACGGCGAGAAACCATTTAGTTTTTTTCTTTCTCTTTTTGTTTTTTTTTTTTTTTTTTTTTTTTAAAGTAAAAAAGTTAAAAAAAAAAATAAAAAAAAAAAAGAAAAATGCGTTGAAGTAAGATCAAGTTAAAAAAGAGAAAAAAACGTTTGAGTGGACTGTCTGTTGTTACTTGAGTCTGTCAGTTTTCTTCTTCTTTTTTTTTTCTCTTTTTTCTTTTTTCAATTAACAAATCCTTTTTCTCTTCTTCGCGCTTCAACGACGAAGAAGTAGAAGAAGAACGAAAACGTACAAAGATAGATATGATATACGAAAGTGATCGGGGGGGAAGAGACCTCTTACGTTTTCTCTCTCTCTCTCTCTCTCTTTTTTCTCTGTCTCTCTCGTATACATATTATACTGACAACCAATCAATTGATGTCGAACATATTCGACAAGGGTTTGTAAATCATACCATTTTTCTTCTTCTTCTTCTTCTCAACATCATTTTTATTAGTCAATATTTCGTAACACTCAAGCCGCACTGAACCGAAACCATCTACGAATTAAAACGCACGAATGCGAGAAAGAGAAAAAACCTTGCCAACAAATCAATAAGGACACCTTACTACATCATCGTCTTGTGATGATGATAATTTTCACCAATTGCGTTCTTTTCTCTCTTACATTTTACATTGATAAGTGATTATTGCAATAAAACAAGATATCGATCATTGCCTATATGTCGTGTGTGTTTTTTTTCCTTTTTCTCTTTTCATTTTTGTCGAATAATTTGTTTTATCTTGATTCGCTCGCTCCCGTTTTATTGCACAACGTTAACCAAGCGTAACCATGCTACTATGTATATGTATGAGCTATAGCATCCAATCGTACGAATGCAAGCAAGACAGAGCGAGAGAGAGAGAGAGAGGGAGAAGAAGAAGACGAAGACGATGACGACGACGCTGCCGTAGAGTAAATTGACAAACGTCATAAAGTCTTCTTAATTTTTTTTTTTTTTTTGCTTTAACATTGTATCGATCTGTCAACATATTCTTCCGTGTCTTAAATCAATAGGACAGGCGTGCGCGCACAAATGCGATTGCTATTGATTTACTGAATTCCTCTCGTTAGTGAGATAAAGTATTGCAACCTATATTCAATTTCACTAGCCGCTTCGCCTCATCCACTGTGATGAGTAACAACTGTTGTCGAGTGATAATAGCTTTTCAATCGTTATATCGACACCCAATAAAATTTCAATGCGAAAAGAAAGAAAAAAAAAAACGAAAGGTAGAAATAAATAAAAATATATATATACATATACACTCACATGCGGGATTGAACAGGCCAAGTAATGACATTGTGATATTGGAAAAAGAGAGAGAGCAAGAGAGGTTAAGCTCTATGGTATTTCTTTAAGAGTGTTAATCACAATAGCAAACAACGCGACCGTGATTTCGAAATGAAGACGAAGCCGGCTGATGCCATTCTTTCTCTCTCTCTATATCGTCTAGAATCTTGAATAAAAAGAAGAAGAGAAGAGGGAGAGAGAGAGAGAGGGCGAAAGAAGTATGTTTTAACTAAAGTTGACATACGGATGCATTATTTCTCACTTTTTAAAAAAGGGGGAGAGAGAGAGAGAGGAAAGGAGCCGAGTCGGAGTAAGAAGACGCAATAAAGAAGGAAAAATTGAACGCTTCAACCAAGCGCTCGACGATTATCCCAACAACAACATCACAGTATGTTGCGCTCCTCGCTGAGCATGGGTAGGGAGACGGAAATGTGCTTGAAAGAACTTTGAAAAAAGTAGTAGTGGTAGAAGAGAAAGTGAGCGCAAAGCGTTTGAAGAATTTTCTTATTGCTCTTTCTTTTCACTTTAGTCTGCAATTAAAGATAGCAACTATAACACATACACATATATATATATATATATGCTTCAGCCGGAAGACATTAAAAAAATGAATTTTTATTTCGAAGACACTTATAAAGTAAACGTAATAATAAGAAAGGTAGTCGTTGTTATAAAATCCTAGTGTGTGCTAATCACAGTGTGAAAAGTTGATGGCGGAAGTGCGTGGTAAAAAAAAAGAGGTGACAAATTTATGTGTGCAAGCAATTTTGCAATAGACTACAACTTTCAAAGATTAAAACACGCAACGTTATGGCTCGAAGAAAAATGAACATAACAAATGAATATGACAGACCGGACTCTTGTTTAATTCTCTTTTTTTTCCATTTTGTTTTATTCTTACTCTCTAAATTATTCAAAACTGCTACGCACACATAGACGTTCGCTCACTAGCTGACAAACGATCTTTTCTTTAATTTTATATGCATACTAGTAATGAACAAGGATTACCTGGTAAACTTTTATGACCAACAAAAAAAAAGAAACAAAGAAAAGAAAAACAAAAGATCCAATAAACAATAAATAAATTTGTATCACTAATAATAGTCCGTCAAACTTGTAAATATTGTAATTGATAATAATAGAAAAAAAAAACGAGAGGTGGCGATTAACCTTCTCTTATCACTTGTGCATCTGCTGTTGTCGTGGATGGATGGATTAGTTGTTGTATATGCTGTAGAAGAAACGATGATGATGGTTCGATTTCCATTCATATAAGAATAAGAAAGAAAGGAAAAACGCAACACACATACGTCTCAAATCAATAGGAGAAAGAGATTAACTTCTTTTCTTTTTTGAAGACGACAATCTGGTGCCTGTACTATGTGTGTGCATGTGCACGGCTGGTGCTCGTCAATGAAATAAGAACGAAATGAGAAAGCGAATATCATCAATATAAGCTAGCAACTAACAAAGAAAAGAAAAGAAGTAGTTAAAGGAGGTGGCCACTCGTCATAGTCGCTTGATTGATTTGCTTTAATTTGTTCGACATGACAAGAATGATCTGACAGACAACATACACACATACATAGACACATGTACTTATTTTGTATGACAACAACTGGTGCATATCACACTCATATAAGAGAATTATATTATTCTTTTTTTTTTTCATTTTATAAAAGCAAAAAAAAAAAAAAAGAAAGAAAAGAAAACAAATATCTTCAAGACACAATCTCTAAAATCTACCTTTTGTTTTTAACTATGTGAATCCTGCCGATAAGCTCTTTGTTCTTGTTTTGTTTTGTTTTTTAACCAAGTAGAAAAAAAATGAAAAAAAAAAAAGAAAGAACGACAACGACTACTTGCGTATTATCTCTTCTAATCTTGACGTGTATATGTTTATAGAGCAACGATTCATTTTTTTGCCTCTCTCTCTCTCTCTCTCACTCGTTTTCTTAAGAGATATCTGCAAATTATTTATTTACACTTAAAATTATAAAAAAAATAAAGAAAGAAACGAAAAGACTAAATTAAAAATTTTTCTTATCGATTATCCTTTATACATATGTTGACAATTGAATACATTTATTTTTTAAATAGCGTGACAGATCGAGAAGTAGAAGAACAAACGATTTCTTTTTTTCACACGCATACGCCGTGACGAGAGACGTACGCATGAAAATTAGGATAATGGCAATTTTGATTATCGTCGTCCAACTACTATTACTACTTATAGTCGCATGTGAAATAGAATATACAATAATAATAATAATAATAATAATAAAGAAGAAGAAAAAAAAAACTTCCTTACTTAAACGACAAAAGAAATAATATTCGCAGTCTTGTCAACAGGTAACAACGACAGCAAATTTAAACATCTAGAGCGATAAGCTATCATTAATCTTTTGGTAGAATATAAGAACAACGAGAAAGTATCATAAAAAATATTCAGGTAAAAAAAAATAAAAAAATAAAGAAAGACCAAGATTGTAAGTACACCTGTCTTTCTGGTTTTATTATCGTTCTGTATAGATCATTATCCTGTTATACAAAGAATTGGATTAACGTATTGTTACCCTTTCATTGACCCAACACCAATGAACATATTCAAATAAGAGAGAAATGAATATGTATATATTATCGTCTCTATTCTGGTAAGGTATACAACTTTAATCGATTGAGATGAAGGTGAAGAAAAAAAAAAAAAAAAGAAAAAGAAGAAATGGATTTCGAGTAATGATGAAGGTGGTGGTAGTGGTGCGTTTGTGTCAAACACATACATACAAATCGCAATCAATTCTAATACACATTGTGCGACGGCCCCCCTCCTTTGCTCGAGCCGAGCGGTAATCACTTTTTTTCTCTCTCTCTCTCTCTCCAAGTAGCAGCAACAGCAGCAATCGAGGCGTTGTGTTCACTAAAAATTCATTCTCGCCCGACGATCGAGTCGTTTTTTCCTCACCTATTTTCATCATCTTTGTGTTAATCGTCCATTTTTGATAAGACGCTATACTCATTGTCGCTTCAACAACGTCGTCTCGCTACTTTTTCTTTTCGCTCTCTTTCTGTTTCACTCTCCTTTTTTTTGCTGTTCGAGAGTTAATCTAACATAGAATTGAGCACTACCGATTTCTTTCCTTCTCATCATCATCATCATCATCATCGTCATCATCCTGATTTACGAACCGAATGCACCATATAAGAAAGAGATACTTGTAGCTTGACACCGTTGGCAAAGGTAGATTATACAGAAATGAGAGCGGTAACAATGTCAGTAATAATAGCAGACAGAACGAAAAGAAAAAGGAATAGAAAAAGATGTTTAATTGAGCTTTCGCTCACTGAACATAACACAAGATTGCATTCAGCTCGATAAGCCTAAGCCGATGTGCAACACATTATAGAAGCAAAAAACATGATAAGAAAAAAAGAACCCGACAAGATGAATTTCCTTGATGAGATTAAAAGCTGAATGTATATATGTGTCTGTTTTGTTCTTCATTTTAAAGCAGATTAGTTGTTGATACTGTATATAAGATGTATACTTATTTTCTCAATTGAAATCATATTCAAATGAAGACAAATGATTATTATATTTTAAAAAATTTTATTATTTTGTTTTTCAATATTTTATTTTAATAAAAAATTTCAATTAAGCAATAAGTTTTCAATTTTCTATAAGA